ATATTGTCGTTAGGTATTATTATCTTTTTACTACCTACCTATCGTAAATTAGAGTTACGTAAATTATCACCTTTATCCAACATATTATCTCCGCGATACATGGCTATAAAATGACAATATTTTATTCACCAATAACCATTTGGCATTAAAAAATTTAAAAAACCTACATATTATTCTTGTACCTAAGTTATAACGTGAGGATTACCACTCCAACGATAAATTGTTTATTACATCTTTGGTGTACTGTTGCGAATAAATCTGATGATCATTGGTCATTGGTCAACTTGTGATTGCTGCACAGTGCACAAGGTACATATAGGTATACCTGCGGGCTGCAATTGTTGTGGACATAATAATATAATAATATACTAATTACTAATATGTTTTCTGTGCATATTATGATATATGTATTATTTTTACAAGTGCTGTGATTTTAATTTGATTATTTGACTGTTAATTTACGGCGATTTCTTGCCATCGCGCGTCCTGCATTGCTGGTGTCTATAATAGAGTATTCGAATAAAAAATATCCCATCACGGTTTGAATTAATTGTTACCCAATCGTTTATTCCGACTGGTGGGAAAACGTATAATAAGCCGAGCGGAAAAAAAAACACATCAAACCCCATACATTTTTGAATTAATATTTCCATCCGTTCAAACGCGGGATTTCAGTAGGTTCTGTTATTATTATCGTCATCGACGACGACTATAAGCCCATTTTAAGTACATACGCACGCCGACCAGAAATCGACAGTGAATTTTACGTAACTCTCCGTTAGTTTGCGCATGTACAACTACTGCAATGGTATATAATATATTATGTATAATATTATAATAATATATTGCTATTATTATGGTCTCGCTCGTGATCGTTTTCGCTAACGAAGCGATGTTGTTTTCACCTATTGTCGTACACAATATATAATATATTATTATTATAAATGAGTCGGACACTCGGACGGCTTAGAATTTATAATAAAAAATATGATACATCATATTTTAATCATTATCATTGTTTACCACTGCATCTGCAGTTGTAGGTATAGTATACTTTTGGCGGAAGAAAGCACATAATATTTTAACACTAACGAGTAGACTATAGTGTTATAGAGACACATGCCTAATATAACGAAAATAATAATAATAATCGGAATATTACATTCAACATTGGTAGTCGTCGTAATACTCGTTGAATGATGTACGTTTTCTCCCGATAGGTCCCCCCTCTCACGCCCCATCCGCCACCCGAATTCTGCTCAGCTCGTCTCTATATTGACTTTGAAAATCGCTTGTGTGCACAGGTACACTCGATGGGAACGCGTTATAATGTAATGTGTGTAATAATACGTGTGTGCTCGGAAAACGACCATCGTTTTGTGTCGAGTCACACGGCCGGAAACGGCAAATCAGTCCCGGTTGACGGCCTCATCACACTGTTGTACCTACGTCTTGTCAGGAATAGAAATCCGCTATCGCCCATCGCGTTTGGTGAATATCGGTTATTATAACGTGAGCACGTTTAGTTTTCCAAGACGAGGAGATCACCGAATATATTTTTTGAGTGCCGAAAATGCGATAAATATACAATATATATTATTAATTATTATTATCACCGATAATGCAGTTACGCAGCACAACAATAATAATTATTAATTAATACGATCCGCGTATTATGTAATATTATAATACTATTCGCCTATCTCTTGTGGGGTGGTTGTGGGTTGCACCTGTTGACTTCTTGACTCAGATGGGTTTCGAATTGTATTGCATTTAATTTTTAAAAATTGTATTTGTTTTCATGTATTGTGATTTATTTACCACGTGATCACAGGGGTCCATGATATCATGTAACTATGCAAGTTATAAGATATATGTGTTACATGGAACATAAAGTTTTCAGAGCCATTGTTTTCAATTTTCCGGTATTCTCGTCAAAGTATATGCGTGGATTTAATTGTATGTAACTAAATTCAGTTTAACCTATTTAACTATAATTTCGTGTTCAGACGATACATTTTTTCGTTAAAACCTGTTTTGTGAGTAGGACACTAGAACAATATAATAATATAATAATAAATAATAATAATATAGCAGGTTTAAGTCTTCGCTCGAGTCTGTACGTCGACAATATTATGGTGACCTTCCCTGTTTACCCGTTATATTGTGCTTGTTACAATTACTTTTGTATTTTTAGGATTGGATAATGTGTTTGTATTGAGAACTATACAGTACATAATAAATTATAATATTACGTAAATATAAAAAATCCTATGCATGGCCGGTGGAGTTTACATTTAAATATATAGTTTATGAATGGGTGAAAACTTCAAGGCGCACTCTTTGGGCAGCAGACGTATATAATTGAAACCCATACAATTATAGTCGTTTGAGGTTACAAATAAAAATTCTAAACATTTATGCGTTTTTTGATGAAGTACCTGTGACCTGTCTAAAACGATTAGTGAAAAAGTGAAAACCACTCAATGCCTTGATGGCAATAACTATGTTAACGCTTCTTTTTTTTATTTGAAAATAACTGTTTTATCTATCACATACTCGTTGATACACGCGAGTCATTCGATGATTCATAGAAAAGTATATTGTTACTCATTGTTGACATAAAAAAAAAATAGTGATTAATAATTGTTAATTGCATATTAAGAAAAACAATTTAATACATTTCCTAAATACCAAATTGAATTCAATTACAAGTACTTATTTACAAACACTTAAAAATGTTAGTTCAATATCATATCACGTTTAAGTCTGTTAAATTTGTTAAAAATTATAAAATATACATGCTGAAATGAATAATAATATAATAAAATCTACATAAAAAAGTTTAAAATAAACATTTAGTACAACATTGTAAATTATTGAAAATCAATTTTTATTTTTCAGAACTTTTGATGTAAGAGCATTTTTTATTTGAAAATCTTTTATGCTTTAATTTTTAAATTTTCTATTTTATGTATGGAGTCATCGAAACCTATAAAAAAAAAATGTATCCAGTCTACCATTTGATGATTCCTATTTCCTAATACTATATGTATTTATTACACCATGTATATAGCGATTATCGATTATTGATCTTAAGCTAAATATAAAGAGTATCGAATAATGTTTTTTTTTTATATTTTCCTTACCTAATAATAACTTTAAAAATATATTTATGTATATTACAAAAACAATTTTATTTATTTTGTTTATAATTTAGTAGGTATTGGTGATAGTATCCTACCGCCTTTGTAATTAAAATATCTTTTTACTGGAGAAAAATAAATCATTCTTAAAATGTATTATTAATTGAAATAATTTGTATAGATCAAACAAGTATAATTAATGTTATGAAAAGTATAATATGGAGATTAAACAATGAATTTAATAGTGTAATATTAAATTATTTTGACTTGAATTATATTTTTTATTGGATGAAATAAATAAATAAATAAAAAATATAACATCAATCATTCGCATTATTATTTTAAAATGTATTGAAAATATTTCTGACAAGCTAATTTTAATGTAGGTATAAGACATAAGTAATATATTATGTAAAATAAAAAAAAATTTCGAATGCTTTTCACTATACAATTTTTTTCCTTAGTGTAGAAACCTTTTGACAATGTGTTACGTTGTAAATACAAGTTGTATATAAATTATAAATGAATGTAATAATTGTTGCTGGTCATACATGTACCTACCTATAGTAGTCACGAAATGTTTTCTTCCTGTTATTGTTGATTTGGAAAGTAAAAAATTAAAACAGATAAATTATAATTCATGTCACCATATGTCCAGTGTACATAACATTGCGTGCCTCGAGGGTTAATTCTTTCTAAATCCGACACTATTTTTCATATTAAATTAGAAATTATTATTTTACTATCACGCGTGGATATTATAATGTAGGTAGGTGCCCTATACATTATGTTTACAGATACGAGGTAAACTCGAATATAATCTGAGTATCCGCACTATATAGTATATTATATTAGATTATTGATATTGCCATATTGGTTGACGCCGTTGACTCACCCGAGTGTATTACAAAAAGAAAACTATACTCACTTATTTTTCATAAGAAATTGTCCGAAACAGTTGTACTTTTAACTAACAATATGTTATGTTTCATTTTTCAGCTCCCGATTGTTGTGCCAGCAACGGTAAACTGTTGCCCATCGAAACTCTCCATCCCAATTGTTTCCCCATCCCCGTACCTGCCAATGATCATTTCTATTCCAGGTTTGGTACAGCGTGTCTACCGGCCAAAAGAACTGTATCATCAGACGATTTTGGGTGCACCTTAAAACCACAGCAAAAGGTTTGTCGACTCGTTTATCGTTAATTATTTTATTCATATTTCCAGTAGTACTAAAACCAGTAAAACCCCTTAGAACTAATAGATTTACACCATGTGAAGTATTTAGTAAAAATATAACCGTTTAGGTGTATCATTCAATATAATATTTTTAACTTCACATATCTATGACTAAGTATAAGGTTAAATGTAGTATAATTATTATTATCACGTTAACCAACGTAGAGGTGATAGAAATCAAATAAAATGATAAGCATTGTTAAGGATCTCTTAATTAAATTTGATAATTTAATATTTTAACAGAGTCATCCAGTACCTTTGAATTTTAGTTATTTCATAACAATCGAATGTACAAATGGAATAATATTAAATTATTCTGTATATTTTACAAACTTTAATTATATTTATTCGATGCCGAGTTTTGTTGCTTTTCAACAATCAGTTAACTTTCTTTTCGAACTTGTACAAGTTGTTTTGTTCATTATAATAAATTATTTTTTCGTCAATCGAGAGATTGTAAAATTGAATTTTATATAACTACAATTTAATCTAGAAGGCAATTTTAAACGTTTTCAGTTATCGATCACGCATAATAATTATTTATATTACGTAAAAACAAAAAAACAAGAGTATGTAATTTAATTTAAAATTGTACATTAAACAAAAACGGTATTTTGGAGGACAAGAGTTTGACTAGGTTCATAATATAATAGTATATAATATGCTTAGTGCGTACAGGTTACAGTTAACGGAAAATCGAGTGCGTGAAAAGCGCTCTTTAATGGATTGATCGAGTAATACTGATATTTTATAACCACCCGCAGGTGATAGCGACGACCCATTTCCTGGATGCTTCACTCGTATATGGTGCAACGGGTCAGACGGCAGGAAACCTGAGGTCGTTCAGGGCGGGCAGGATGAGGGCACAGATCACAAGAGACGGCCGAATGTTCATGCCAAACGTCAACACTCCCACCCAATCCTGTAACGTTGCCACAAACACAGAGGTCTGCTATAGAGCAGGTAATATAGAAAATCTATTGAAAATTAAAAACTAAAATATTAACGTCAAAAAAATGCATAGGTTTTTCATTCAAATTCATTCTTCTCCTTAAATCGGCGCTACTTATATTGAAACTTATAACAATTGATTTTCCAACTCGTCGTGACAGAACTCGATTGAAAAGATTTCCTGCATTTTATACCTATGACTTTTTGACCCATTATATGACTGCAGGGTGTATGTAAAACGAAATAATAAAATCATTTTATATTTCCCATTAATATATTATTACAGTCGTGTGTTAGTTTGGTCGAGTAATCGGGTCAAGTCTTACAGCAGCAGTTACGGTTGTGATGGCATCGTATTTGTTTACGTTGTTCGTAGGCAATTTGTAGCCAATTAAATATGACATAAATTCACATAGACTATAAACACAATAGTTAAATCCCACACACAAGGTGGTTAAGTTTAAATGGCTGGATTACAATGTGTAGGCAGTAGGTACCTGTGCCTCGTGTATTTTTCATGCGTTTTAAAATTTAATTTTCTTTATACTTAAATCACGATGGTAAAATAAAGTTATATCGCAGCATGTGCAACAACTACACCTATATTGACATACCGGGATCTCATCAAAGACTCAAAATCTTAACTTTTATGTTTTGTATATTTGAACGGGCGGAAACTGTCTTAAAAAATTAAAAGTACTTAGGTATGGCTGTATGGGGATAAAAGTGTTATGATCATTTTTTTTGTACAATATTATTCGAATAAATTTGAAGTGCATATGATTATACTCTAATACGCTTGTTCTGGATATGTTTTATATTTTTTATTCGTGTGCAAAATACTCGACCAGAATAATGGTAAAAAATCATAATACACTATTGTCACGATTGATAACACTATTAATCTGAAAAGAGAAATTCGTATCGGCAAAAATTATCCACCAAACTAAACTCTGTTCTTATAATATATTATCTACCTATTACATACCACGAGTCACAGATATCAAGTGCAAGTATCGTTTAAAATAATAATTGTACAGCCACTTGGGAAAAGTGTCGTGTTGTATGAATTATTTTAAAACGTACTAATTTCTGTCTGTTTCGATTAGGTGACGGCCGAGTAAATCAACACCCCGACATGGCCGTGTCGCAAGTGGCCCTTTTGCGGTTGCACAACTTCTTGGCGACAGAGTTTGCGCAGCTCAACCCTCAATGGACCGACGAGATACTGTACCAAGAAGCCAGGAAATTCGTCATCGCCATCATCCAGCACATCACGTACAACGAGTTCCTGCCAATTTTATTAGGTAAGTAATTTAACTAAAATTCACGAAATGCCTGCAATGTCACTATTCAGACGGCGTTTCGTTTTTCTGCAGCAGGGACAAAACAATATTATACCTACATAATATTATTATTATCCAACATTCAATTACAATGTACTATTATAATAATGCACTTACGTCCAGTTGTTATTAAAATTTGCATAATACAATTATTTAAAAATTCAAGTTAAATAGGTATAGTAATATAGGTAGGAAGTACATATAATATAATATACCTATTATATACAGATAATAATATACAGTTTCAAACAATGTTTATTATAATTATATGACTAAGATAAATTATACCTCAACGTCTTACCATCTATAACTATAAAACCCGTACAAGTAAACATATTATATTATAGTTTCAGTTCATAACTCGTTTTTTTTTTTATTATTATTTATATATTTATATCCATACAATGTTGTATCCAAGAGCGAACACAAAAAACTACAAGATGTTATAATCTTGTGTTATAATAAACATACAAAATTACATAAATTGTATTGATGCTATACGTACGGTGTGATAATATGGAAATCGATGACTACTGTCTACTAATAATATATTGAGAATAGTAATAGAAAAAAAATAATAATATTATGTCACCTACTCATTTAGTAGTACAAAGTGTAAACTAAATTTTTAATAACTTACTGGTTACTTCTTATTTTAATATTGTAACAATGGTATGTAACTAACATATAGGTACCCAGTGAATACAATTAAATCGTCTTTGATTTAATTACATTGTAGACAGTATATTTTCTTCGATGAAAGTAAATAAACTAATCTGACGTTTTAATAAATATTTTCATAACTATGTTTAAATTTCATAAATCGTTGAAATATTGAATATTTATCATAATAAATTCATAACTAAATTAATTAAATTGGATTCCATCAGAATTCAAAATTATATTTATTTAAAACTTTTCTTGTTAAATAGTTTATGAAACAAATACGACATTATGTATCCCTAAAATACCAAAACACTAAGATTTAAATTCTTCGACATAATATGTAGGTACATAACTTTTTTGAATACATGTGAAAATAAATACAATAGTTCAAACCCGATATTAAATATTGATCCTTTCTTTATTACAAGTTTTACCACATGATATTATGCTTTATATTAAAACAAATATCATAATACCTATACAATATAATACTATGTTATATACTTAATATCTAATACAAATATAAACCATTAGATAACTGCTACAAACATATTTTGTGTGAATTAATAGAAGCAAAAAAACTAAACAAAAATAATGACAAAAATAATAATAACTATATCAAATTAGTTGTTTTTCACCTTGTGGGTAATAATAGTTTTGTTATTTATAGGTGAAAATTATGTTCGTGAAAATGGCATCTCTACGCTGAAACAAGGTTATAGTAATTTATACAATTCAAACATTAATCCGTCCACACTGGCTAGTTTTGCTGGTGGAGCATTTAGATCTTTGCACAGTCTGGTGCCATCCGTTTTTAAGTGAGTAAAATAAATTACTCAAATACAAAAGAGCAAAGTACCTAATTGTTTTTCCAATTGTTCAGCTTGGTGAATGAAGATCGCGAAAACGGTGGCGCACCAACACGTTTCAGTGAATGGATGAACAAGCCTGGTATCATACAAAGACCGGGTAACTATGATATGTTCCTGAGAGGTATAGCGACACAACCTCAACAAGCACAAGACATATTTTTCAGTGAAGAAGTGAGTACTCACATAAATGGCATTATGATTTATTACTTTTTTTTTCGTTTGAGTTATTCAAGTGAAATAAATGATAATACCACACAAAGGTTTTACTTTGGTTGAGACGGAATCGATTTATAAATAATTTATTTAATTAATAGCTTATCAGCTATCACGTTCATTAATATATTAATAATATATTAAACTATTCATGTAGGGTATGTATAATAACGTGTTATAAAAAATCATTACATAGGTACGCATTTCTTTTGTTAAATTAAAAACGCAGTCGATTAACAAGGAGAAAATATTTAATGATATACCGAACAATTTTGTAGGTACCGATTTTACCTAACATAATTATTATTGATTACAATAAGTTCGGATTCTTATTTTTTTTAATTTTTTTTTATACATTTTCTTCTTTTATTGTAATGCAATATTATGGGAATAAAAATTAAGACGACCATTAAACACAGATTTATCCACCAAATCATGATTTTTTTTATATTCATTTAATTGATACGGTAAAATAATCATATAGATACTAATATGTATACTTTGATCATAATTTATCACTAAATTAAGATAATTAACTATATAATTTTGTTTACGATTTAAATCAATTACGAATTATAATAACATACTATACTTTCGTCGACAACATTTTATATAATAATTACGAATAATAATAATTTTGTTTACGACAAAGTTAAACACTCGCAATAATTGATTAATCTAAACGTCGATCAAAAATACATGGGTATTATGAAAATATTAAAATACGTATTGTTTAGTTGAATATTTAAATAATGGCTTTTTTTATCTTTAGATTACCGATTTGCTGTTCAGAGCGAATGGACCTCTGGGCCAGGATTTGGTAGCGAAAGACATTCAACGTGGTCGGGACATGGGAATACCTTCTTATAACCACTTTAGGACGCTATGCGGATTACCGAAGGCTACGACGTTCGATGATATCAGAGACGTCATGGACGAAGAGGTAATTTTCTCAACAATAATATTTAATCAAGGACTGTTATGACCACGGAAACTTAAAAACACTTAATTTGCAGAGAATTGAACGATTAGTCAAAATCTATCCAACAGTCGACGACATCGATTACCTGGTCGGCGGTATGCTCGAAAGAATTATTCCGGGAACGCTAACCACTCCTTCATTTAGATGCGTCCTCGGGGAAGGATTCTTCCGTTACAAAGCAGGCGATCGATTCTTTTACGAGTACGATATATCGCCAGGAGCTTTTTCACCTGGTAAGCATAAAACGTTTTTCGACGAATTTTGCTGCAGCTGTCGAGAATGTATAATATATTATACAGGGTCATCATCAAACATGCTCATTTCTCATTCCTATTTTAGCGTTCAGTGATATATTTATTAAAATTGAAATATATATATTTAATCAATCATGAAATTCCAATAGATAAATATTAATTGCTTTAATACTATTTTAAAACCAATATCATAGCCCCCCTATCGTTTGAACCTATATTATTAAGGGCCGATTTCACCAACACAGTTAATCACGGTTAAGGTTAACTGGAGTTTTAATCGGCCGAATTTGGCCGGTTAAATATCTGTTATCAGCCGATTAAGCGTTAATCGTGATTAACTGTGTTGGTGAAATCGGCCCCAAGTGTATTTTAAGATCATTGAAAAAAAAAACAAAAATTAAATTAAAACAAATACCTACCTATGTAGTTCAATATATGACAAAACGTAGGTAGGGGTGCAGAATATGGCCGGCGATTAGCTCTGTATATATTAGCTAGAAACGTATACACTTCATTATTTACTGTCACGCCATCCCCCCCCCCACACGAAATGTGTGTCTCAAACCGCATATTTTTAAACTTTATCGTCACTGTTTCAGATCAGCTGTCCGTCATTAGGAGGTTCTCGTTGTCCACTCTTATATGTTTGACCGGCGATAACATACAGACGATGCAGAGAAACGCATTCCTGCAAATCAACCCCGGGTAAGTTATATTATTTGGGTAATACGTTTTTATATAAATAAAATATATAATAATATATAATTTGCAGCATCGCACAGGTAATAAAAAATGTGATTTTCAATATCCGACAATATAAAAATATGTAACTCGCACCTCACTCGTAAATATGATTGGTACATGAAATTTTAATTTGCAAAAAAATTACGATCGATAATATTTTATACTTATAGTTTGCATTAGTAACTTTCGTCACTAAACGCCATTCGTGACATCGTCGCAAGTTTGTAGCGATGCACTTATATTACAGGCATGTTGGTGTGTCTATAATATTATGTGAACCTGTATAGGCTAAGAACATGCCAATAACTGCAGTGGCGCTGAAAACGTACTTCGAGTACTTCAATTGAACTTCCCGAATACAACGATGGAGTTTAATATCTAAAATACCTACCCATGTCCAAAAGGCCAAACTATTTAACTCTGATAGTTTTATACGTTATCAGCTGTTACTCGGTTCTTGAGGGGAAAATATGATGATACACTTGTTGGTACCTAATGCCTAGTAGATAGATAGTCGGTTGAGCTCTCAGACTTTGTGCCATCGGTTGTCATTTTACAATTGTGCAAATTACGATCTGGGGTAACGCCTACCTGTGCGCGGTACAAATTAAAATATTACATTTCACCATTTTTGGTCAGTCGATTTTTACTTTGGTCAGATTTTCGTGCAAATTACACACATCCGTTAAATTATATGCATACTCTATAGTGACGAAAGCTGTTTTAAATTGAATTTGTTCTTAATTCCATTATTTTAATTTTGTTTTAATTTCGTTACAGGAACGCGTTGGTCCCGTGTAGACAGATCTTGACGGAACTAGATTTGGCTCCGTGGAGATTCCAAAGTTAACCTCGTATAGCCCGCGTTAACAAGCTTGGAGAAAGAAGAGAACAAAAATCGACGTTGCTTTTGTGATATATTGTGTGTATAATAGTACCAGAAGTTAGTCTTAAGTATTCAATGTTTAAATATTTTTATGTTTAGTCGGATAAGTTTAAATTATTATTATTTACATCGTTACCAAGATTTTAAACACAAATCGTCCGAAAGTCAGGAAATGTATAAATGAAAACAGAATTTAAAAAAGTGCCAATGATTTTTTTATTATTATTTATATATATTATAGTCTTTTTTTTATTCAGAAACTCATAAAAAACAATATTACCTATCTCACTATTGGTTTTACTGGTCAATATTGATAATATATAGTAATGTTATTGTTTTTATCGTAAACTTTTTAACGTTCTTACCTATTCTTGAATTTTTAATGTGTAATGATTCTTGTATACGCCTTATTCTTTATATAATAAAGTGTGTTGAACATATTATCATTCTAAAACGTGCCATGGCAAAAAATATCGAAATCATAAATAAATATTTTTAAGCATAATGTAAACATCTATACTCTTCAAAACGTTGAGCTGACATTTTATAATGATTTTTATTCACGGTTTCCTTTATTCCATCAGTGAAAAATTGTTATAAAATACCTATGCTTCTTATGAATATAATATTATAATAATATGTGTTTATTCCTAAAATATTAGTTTTGTATTTAATTTATTTAGAAAAATGTATATTTACGTATTGTAAGTTAACGTGTCGATATAATTATCTTATTAATTGTATGTATACTTGTATAAAATAATGTATTGACTTTTGTTTGTAATAAAAAGATATATGATATATATGATTCTGTAAAAAATGTTTGAGGTTTTTTTGTTTTGTTTTCGATTCTTTACAAAAATCCATCTTTTTCCAGCGTCAGTTTGATTTTTGCAACTTTCTCGTTGGTGATTGGCGGCAATGGAGATCGACACAGACCTCCTCTGTAGCCCAAAAGTTCCATCGCAGCTTTTAGACCGGCCGGTCCACATTCTTGCATGAGCTGTAAGAAAAAAAAACACAGTTAAAAACGAGTAGATCGATATCGACAAACCAACCAACCGCAATAAATCTGAGTTGTGGTAAATACCTATGAGTACATTTTAGAAGTAATAGCGGTAACTGGTATCGTATAATATCACGCGTAGTGATGTACCTCGTGGTGAATTTAAATATTATATTTATATTATGATGACGTCTCGTTGTCACATAATAATATATTTACATAATACTTAAGTCGAGTGAACACAATATAACTAGGTAGGTAATCAAAATGTTTAAATTAATATCGTCGCCACAGTCGTTGCTCGATGGCTGTCGCATAATATTATTGATATTATACAATAAAATTAAATAGATTTCTATATTATGTTATTAAATAACACAAAATTAAATAACATTTTCCATTACATGAGTGCAAGCACAGATACGATGAGAATGGGGGAAATCAGCGATAGAATGGATTTAATCGTTTAAAGAATTTAGTATTTACCTATTCACGTTAATTTTAAAAAGGTCATCCATAAGAATGCAAGTATAAGTATAATATACGTTATCGATTGACTTCAAAACGAAATATCTCCGATATGCATATCATATATTATAGCTCTGCAAAGGCGTGAAACTGTACAACATTTGGGTTGGAAGCATAATACAAACTACCTGCAGTGATCATCGTGCTCTGCATGCAATCGTCGCAGGACGAATAGTCGCTATAGAATAGAGTAAACTAATTGAAATAGACATTTTAAGTACTCAAATACGCGTATTTTAAATACTTTCTCGAGATGTCTGTATTTAAATTCAAAAACTTAAATGATTTTTTGTCACGCATGCACCGAAAGTTTCGTTTTCCAAAACGGTTGAAGCGTTGGAAAGAGATCTTTTTCCATCCTGTGGGCGGCAAAGTGGAAATCCCCAAAAGTGCCAGGCGGTGAAGTGGAAATTCTCAAAAGTTCCGGTCGGTAAAATGGAAATCCCCAAAAGTGCTGGGCGCGCATATTACGCGATTCTACTGCACAACCAGACACTGAAATCTATACCACGGTCCTTACAAAACATACATTTTTCCTTACATCTTATATTCATATTATAACCTCTTGGCATGACGCGTAAACATTTGTATTTCATGAAATTGTTTTCGCAGAATAATATAATCTGATTGTTTCATAGATTCCTGCTACATAGTGCATTATCTTGGCCGTGATTAACTCTTTTTATTCTTATTTTGTTTTGATATAATAATTATTATTTATTCTAAAATCTATACCACGGTCCTTACAAAACATACATTTTTGGTTGCATCCTATATTCATATTACAACCTCCTTGCATGACGCGTAAAATAAATAAAACCAAATAATTTCTTTCATAAAATAATGTTTTCCTTTGCCGTGATCGATGAAAGCAGAAGCTAAAAAATATTATGTGTGGCTCGTGCGGGAAGGCAATTTCAGTCTTGGGCGAAATTCGGAACTCGCAACTGAAAGAGCTCACTTACTGCCCTTGCCACACAACATTCTATTTTTTCCGAGTATTCAAATACGTATATATGTATTTTAAATACTTTACAACATTTGTCAGTACCTATGTAAATGAATATTTTTAAAAAGTTTCTTTTATACAAGAATATAATAATGTAATGAAATAAGCGTGGATTAGTGCATTACTCCACATTTACAGGTGCTTTTTATCACACGTAATGATAATATCATAACAAATCAGACGAACGACTCACAAGCAAATCGATATTGACAAGTTTCCTCTGCAATTCCAATGCCTCCTGCCACCGACCCGCCGACGCCAGTTCGTGCATCTTACATAACGGTTCGCCGAGTACAGCGGCCAGACCGTTTATCCCGCCCGAGCAACCTTGAAGTAAACAAAAAATAAATGAATGAATAAAAACTCGGCCTTAACGAAGTCGTCTGTCAAAGGGACGGTACAGGCCATTTAAATATAATATCAAGTCGTGTGCGGTTTACCGACGAGCATGGCGGCCAGTAAGTAACTCGCCGACCCGGCAACGATTTGGAATCTCTGGTCTCGCGTTTCGGTGACCAGCGCTGCGAGTTTTCCCATCTACGCCAGAAACAAAAACAAAATGTATAGTTGCGCGCGCATAACTATTTATTTTATCATTTCCAATTATTATTACATTCGAACACGGTGCCGCACAGTGGGATGAATGACAATTTTAGCGTGCCAAAGGAACCATTTTTTAAATAAAAAAATAATGTATCATTATTACAACATGCTGGATAATTGTATAAAAAAAATTGTATTTTTTATCATTTTAAGTGAGGAAATTAAATTATATAAAAATGTATAAAAGTTTAAAAATATTAATCAATTAAAATATATTATATATTTTAAACAAACAGCTCTATAATTAGTCAGGTGTGTGTCAATTAATTCTTGTGGAATTATATTTTTAGCTTCAGAATATTGCGTAAAGACAAATATTATTGATAAAAAAACGAATAATTTTTTTAGTTTAAAAAATAGGCTTTTGGCAAGGTAAAATTGTCATTCGTCCCTGCACTGTGATGCAGGTGACTTACGTCTTTATCCTTAACGCCGACGATATTTGGATGTAAGGACATTTTCTTCAGTATTTCGACGCTGAGGTCGATACCGGTCACGGGCACCATGTTGTACACTATGACCGGCGCAGGACACGAGTCGGCTACCGACACGAAATGCTCGTACAAAGATTCCTCCTGAAAAGTTTTGTATTTATAACATATCTTTGGGGAAAGACTCGGTAAAAAGTCTATCAGTTGCTATAAGTTGTGATACGATCCGAGAATATACCTACTCATATATTATGTACAATAAGCTATAATTATTGCCTCAGACAGTACAAGCTCGCTGAAATATATTTCGTTTGGTATTACAATATAATATCTATTAAGTATTTAGGTACTACGATAATAATATTATTTATTATAATTGTATTATTGTATATAGGTTAATAACATTTGAACTAAACTTAAACCGATGAATTACGTGTAAAAAATGGAAGTCACCAAATATTCTCCCAGAAAATAATAATTACCGTAATATTGCTTATTACTGGCCATCCATATTAATGACCATTGCGTGAGGGTAGACGAGCATTTTGGGTTTTCAGTATCGAATTCCATATTTAATTTATAATATAATATTATCGTGTACATTCGTCTACATACAATTTATTGTTGGTTTGGAATAATATATTCTACTAAATAGCGTCGAATGAAAGCTTTAGGTAGGTACCTACGAATGTATGAGTACTTTTCCGTAACATTTTATAATATTGTCACGAAAGGAAACAAATGATCACGACTGAGTGCTGTACTTATTTTATTGTTTATTAATATTAACAATAATTTATTATACCTACTATTGTTTTTTAATTAATATACACGCGTAGGTAGATGGGTACGTATATTTCATATACAGGATGATAAGTGGTTAAACTTTTAAAATATTTATATTAACCAACTCTAAAAAACTGGGACTCAATCTTTTAAGGTTCACGGGTAAGGACAACTATGAATTTTAATGATCATATTATAATAGATCTCTAATTGTAGTAAACATTTTAAAAAATCGCATTTAAAATTCATTTAACAGAAAAATATTATGAACAGAAACAAACATGGCGAAACACCCTGTATATAGGTTTAGTTTTAATTTTTTTTTATTCGACATGGAACCTTTTTAATTGCTGGTCATTTTACGCGGTATTTTAATTTAGGGGTGTATTTAATTTTTTTAAATCCCTTTGAACAAATTAAACATATTGGGTAGGTGATATGATATTAATAATTACAAAATGCAAACCGAAAAAAAATGTTCTATTGTATTATGCGAAGGTATCATGTTACTTACCGTCATTCTGGTTTTGAAGTAGAAAGGACTCATCACCAAAACGCCGTCTGCCCCGACTTCAGCTGTGGCTTTACTAAGGTCACACGTCATTTTAGTAGCTAAATAGATAAAGAAAATCATTTAAACTTATTGAACATAATATTATTTTCATTCATTATTCGTACTAAAAATATAACTGAACTATTATTATGCACGTGTGATTTTGGAAATATAAAAATAATATAGAGAAATGCTCAAGTGTAGGTACGCGCCACATTACATAATATATGTAGGTACATTTTTTTTCATTTTGTACCTATAAATAGAGTATATAATATATTATGTTAGAATAGCTATAGTTCGCCATGCGCGTTATATAAACACGATATTTTCTGTAATATCTACTTTGAAATAAATTAGTCGAATAATGGTATAATAGTCTTTCTCAAAAGTTTTGGAATTGATTTCTTTTAGATAATATAATTTACACGCGAGGGCTAAAATCACCTGACCACTGGTATTTTTTCGGTTTAACGATAATTGTTCAATCGATATATAAATAATATTGTACTACTATTTATGAGATTATTTTACATTTTAAATTTATTATATCTTACATTCACACGTTGTCCCAGCAATCAGTAATTTGTCTTTTCCAATCATAGATCGAATTTTGGACACCATTTCTATTTTTTCTTCGGCTTTTAAATATGGTCCTTCACCATTGGATCCGCCCACACAGTAACCTGAAAATATTTCATTTTAGTTACTTATATAGTTATTACATCACCAAATATTTAATTAAAATATTCTATAGGTACAATTTTTTTTTCGCAAATAGTGCAAAATAAATACGATGAACCCGTTGTTTGTTAAAACAAAAAATTTCCATTTTTAGAAGTTAAGCGAATAGAGTGCTTTTAAAATAATTAAAAATTACATTTTAATACCATGACAATATGATAATGCATTATTAATTTATTATACAAGTTTTTGCAATTTGCTATTTTTGTAAACAGAACTTTAATAAACTTTTATCTCTCTTATTGATGGTATAAAATCAAGTTGGATGTACAATAATAGTATAAAAAGAAAATGCTTTTTGAATAACGTTGTACAATTGAAGGGCTGTATAAAACTAAGTTGGGCTAACCATAAATACGTATATTACAATTATTTTTCAGTTGAATTTATACTTTAAGAAATTAAACCATACCTATAATTATTGTGGTAATGTATAATTAAACTTAATATTTGGGAATCAAATTATATTATGTAACATACAATTGTCTATTACATAATATGATATATCATTATTTCTTTTAATCAATCGTTTTAGAAAACATTGTTTTAGGAACTGACAACAGATGGTAATTGTTTCCTTCAAACTTTATGTGAGTTATTGTTAAATTATAATTCCATGTACTTCTCATAAGAAAAAAATAATTTAATAACGTTCATTTTAATTACATTTTAATTTAATATAATTTATTGTCAATTACCTATACCTATAATCTATATCATTATTACATAACACGTATTGATATTCATTTTATGCTTAAAAACTTTATCTGTGTTTATTCCAAGCCTGGGCAAGTTGATGATAATTTTTAACTGAGTTAAGTTAAGTTAATGGAAAACATTTTAAAAAGTTAAAAGTTATATGAACATTTTCAATTAAATTATTAACTTAAGTTAAGTTATTTTTTTTTTATAATATATCTGTATAAATACCCAGTAATATGGTTTAAAATAATAAAAATCATAAATATTACTGAACACAGGAAATAGCCAATAGCTTTTCTATACACGGGTACTGAATTAATAGAATTATGAAGTAGGTACAAAAAAAATACAAAATTGGAAATACCGAAACAAATACAACCTTTTGATTTATTAATACACTAATACAGATAAGTACTAAACATTTTTTTTTAACCAAATAACAACATGTGACAACAAGTAATGAGTAACAAAAACTTGTAATTATAATATAACTTTTTTATTTATTTTTTATTATTTCATTTTTAAAACAATAGTAATAGTTGACACAATGACACAAAATTAAACATATTATTTTATATACCTACGTGTTTTTCATATTAATAAATAATACACAGCTTTTTTATACATAAAAATAGCAATAAATAACTGATAGAAAATATATTTAAATTTTTAAAATAATACAAAATGTTTTTTTATTATTTGCCTGGCATGAAATAGTCATTTAGTTAAATGCCTAGTCATTTAATTAAATGACTAGGCATTTGACTAAATGTCTAGGCGGATAGTGAAATTGCATAAACATTAAATTTTTTGACTATATGCCTAGGCATTTAATAAAATGCCTGATTTGACTATATGCCTACGACAACTATATTGTCTACCGACAATATTAACTGTTTATAAATATACACATTTGAAATATAAATATACCTACATGAGCGTAATACCCAATTAGTTTTAATTTGCCGAAAATATTTTACAATATGTTATTGAGAATTGTACATTTTTGAATTGTATCCATTTCAATATAATAATAATAGGTATCACATTACTTATTATAGTTTTACTCGATAATATTTTACTTCCAAACACAGTGGAGATAATATAGTGAAACCACAAATATGATAAAAAAAAACCATAGTGAACGTAAATAATCTTAAAAAATTGAGGCTATTTTATATATTATTTTGTTATTAATGTGATTTATTCACATTGTTTTTTATTTGTGTACATGACGTGTACTTTTGATTTGCTGTGGAATTTATTAAATTATCAATATTAAAATATATAAATTAAATATACTTTTAAAACGTATTAAAACATTTTATATTTACAATTCACTTCACGACCGGTGTTATAATATAACATATATTATAATCGGAACTGAATTAAGTTCTTCACACACGGTAAGTGTGTGGTAGGTAATAATATAATACTAATATGGTAATTACTATTTATTACCTAGTCATATTACTTGGGTATGCTTAAAACAATTACTCACGAAGACGATAATACCCAAGTATAAGTACCTATACTTATAGAAGTCTAGTAAAGTATTAAATAGGTAAACGTAATAATAGGTTATAATATGATAATATATTTAATTAATGACTTAAGCGATACCTTATCTGTCAAATGAATAGAAAACGTTTATACGTATTAATATATTATTTTCTATGTTACCAATTTTTGTGTTGTTATTTAAATTAAGGCACTAACGTATTATGTCAAGCTTATGCTCGTATATCTATCTAATACTATCTATTATATATTTTTAAGTATTCGATTTGTTGCTTTTTTAAGTATTAAAATCAGTTTAAACGTAACTTTTGTTAGGTAGGTAGGTTATATAATATGCCTGTCACCCTCTTCGCCTTTTGATATAGTTTTCGTCGAATAATTATTAATACTTAAAACAAAAAGATTTGACACTGAAATTCGTTAATTGGATTAGGTACTTATAAGAATCCTTGCAATCAATTAATAAACGTCTTAATCATTAAAAAAATGGGCAATAGTGATGTACAGTACAGTAGGTGTTGAGTGGGCCTGTTTAATGGATGTGTTAAATTTGAATAAATTTGTAAATGTTTGTAATTTTGATAAATTTTGTTAAAAATTTAACTGTAAAGGGGGTTCCGATCGGTCATTTTCTAAGGAGTAAGACTTAGGCAAATCGTGTGGCAGGTACATCCGGATAATGTCAATGTATGCAAGTGTAATATTAAGACTATTGTGTGTTTCTAAAAGAATTCTCACACTCCCCGTCACAATATGTCAGTATATTAAATAAGAAAAAAGGTTTTCGGTAACTTTCTGATTAGAGACATACATCGGCGGTGAAAAAATTGTAAGACTTAGGCATTTTAAATCTGTAAAAATCTTAACATTTATGAACATCTCCTCTAGAGAATGGTCGAGGTATTTTTTTAGAAATATGAATTTCTTCAATACATATTATGATTGAATAAAAACGTTGTAAAACCTAAAATGTTTATAATATAATAATATTGTCAAAAGTTCAAACTTTGAAAAAAATTCTCTCCGAAAGATTCTCTAGAAGAGATAAAAAATGTTATTATTTGTACAGCATTAAAATAGAACCATCAAAAGTCTCACAATGTTTCACAATCGCAGTCACAGCGGAGGGTCCTTAAATGCTCATTAAAAAAATCTCGTGCCTACATATTTTTAATATTTTCAATCCATTATTAGAACAACTTATGAGGAATTTCGTAAAGACTTTCAAGCTGTCTATAATAAAAGCTCTAAAATAAATAAAAAATATTTTACAAAAAAAAATTTAACAACGTTTTACAATTTAAAGAAAATAGTAATGTAAACATTCAGTAAAAAAATCATGTATTTTTAGTGTTAATAACTCAGAAACTACATTTTCAAGATAAATTATACCTACTCAACAATTTGCAGTAAAAAGAGAATTTGGGGTTCTCATTTGAAAAATAGATGTTTGTACAATCCTTAATTAGTAGTATAAAAAATATTATGAATTATTTAAAAATATGGTCTTTATAAGTATAGGTACTTAAAAATGCTAAATATTAAAATTTGAATAAATGTAATATTAAGGGAAAAAATGGGGGCGGATCATATTGTTTAAAAAATCACCCTATATGTAGATTAATATCGGTGACGTTAGTACATTTGATAAGGAAAAAAACGGAAATGTTATCTCTACCCCGGTGGTACCTAATCATCACAACAAGCATCACTTACCGGTACCGCTAATCAGTAACTTCTCATGTCCATCGTCAAACGTAAAATTCGCTTATAAATATTTTATTACACTCAGGCGCTCTTATGGACGCGTTAACAGTCTAATAAATAATCATAAAACCAACCGTTCCAACCGTCCCCCCACATCCGCCCCTACAAAACAACAAAAATGGGTCCATAGTCGACGGGCTTAAGCTCGATGAAAACAAAATAAAATAATAATAATATAAAGACGGTATCATGTGAAACCGCGGTGGTGGTCACCTCTAAACGGTATTTTTTCCCATCGTTCGAAATTGAACGCCAGCGCTCCGTAGTCGACGTCTCCATTCGTCTTGTACGGAGTGGGTATGGGCACGAACACTCCGTTGAGATCGAAATTCGCCGCCGCGGACGAGCCGCTGCTGATCCGGCGCAACGCCACCGCCGGTCTGAGGGCTTTGGATAACTTTTGCATTCTTGGGTTTTTTTTTTCGAATATCGTTTTATATCGGCACTCTGCAGACTAGAACTGCAGGAGACTCGGTCTCGGTTTCGGAATCGGACTGGATTATAATATAGGACTGGAGCTGCTCTGGGACGGTACTCTCAGTCGTAGCACATTTGCGGACATAATAATGTAACATGTAGGGTGTCACGATAATAGGTGAGACAATAATATTATGAAGTTGCTGCGATCGCCGTGAAGCCAAAAAAGGGTTCCGATCGGTAATAACTATAATAATAATACGATATCGTCGATATCACATGGACGTATTGCGGTCTGAGACATTAGATCCCCCATGACGCAATCGTTATAATATTATACATATTAATATCGTGTACGGGTACAGAGGATCTCAAATTATTTTTTGTTTAGCACGAATGTGTGGAGACAACGTAGTCTCGCTCATTCCTCCGCAATAGCGATTTGTGTTATTATTATTTTATAAGTCCAACACCCGAGTCGACCAATCAACAGTTATATACTTATGTACTGTATGATTTAACGCGTATTCTATATCTTGATCTGTAGGCACTATAATTATAGTCATCGTTCAACTGATTTTTTCAGTAAATTGTTTAACTTTAATGTACGTAAAAGTAAAAAAAATATACTTACAAATTATATATTTAACAAATACAAAGCCAAAACTAGAGTGAACTGATTTATATATTTATATTACAATCGGGACACGAAAAGTGTTGTTTGATCCGAAATCGGCTGGTTGAATTATTATTAGTTATACAAACAATACGTTTTGTAACGAATCCTTATTTCTTATACATTTTCAATAGAAATTTACATTTTTTTTTAGCGATTAATCGTAGAAGCATTGACCTCTGCATGATGTCTTTAAGTAGACCGAAGTAGTCGAATTAACACTACCTATATAATATAATATGTCTTTTTTTTAAGTGTACCAATTTTTATGTATATATATATATATATATATATATATATATATATATAATATATATGTATAATGGTAAGCTTATAATAATCATAATGTGGCATTGGCTGAAACTATACAATGTAAAAAAGAGATTGGTTTGTCGACCGCTCAGAAATTATTTAAATTCTGAATGTCATATAAAAGTATGCACATCCTTGGGGGTCGCGACTCATGGTTTGGGAACCACTATCATGCTCAGTGCTTACGCTATAATGGACATGGTGTATACTGTATACAATGTTATAATATACTATATAAAAGTAAATACAGATGCCATTCAAAAGCCCACGACCTTATAACTTTATATGTCATTATGTAATCTCGACATGCTCATCGGACGCACTTCACAACCATACGAGTCTATAACGTATTATAGATTCGATCAGGCTGTTTACTGTGCACATATTAGCATATTACACAATCATACTCTTATTTTGTGGTTTTATATTATAATAATAACATACTACATCTATTTTATTCATTTATTTTAAATACACAATCTGTACGGTTCGTCCAAAAGTTATATAAGTGTATTAGCTAACTTGACAGTTTAAAGAATGAAGCCAATCATCAAGTTCCACAAATATGATATATCATAATATAGTTAATAATATTCAATATACGTGTAATAGATATAACACTGTAATAGGTATACCTACTGCGGTGGCGTGGCCAGAATTCTTTTTCGGGGGCTGATCAACTTTTACACTTTTATACATTAAATAAGTACTACCACAGATAGATAGCTGAAAAGCGTTAATACTTATAGGTAAATTTTTAAATATTTTAAATATAATGCAAGACTTTTTGAGCGACTATCATGGACCATAAAAATAATTTTTTAATTTTCTTAACATTTCGGGGGGGGGGGGGGGCTGCAGGCCCCTCAGCCTCTCCTCTGGATACGCCACTGAGCCTACTGTAGTTGTTGCGGTCATAATACTGTAATATATGAATAATATACTCTATATTTAAATAAACATGTAAAGTGAATATATCAGGTAGGTTCATACTTGGCTGTAAAAAACCACAAACGCAATTAAAACATATTACGCAATACCAAGAAATATTAAGCAACCAACATTCCTTCACGATTACATAACAATATTTCCAAGACGCTCATACACCGAAAAATATGCCCATATATGGTTATAATGAAACAACAAGATAATAAAACATTACGCAACACACGTACATCATTACGTAACCGAAAATTCCATACTATACGAACACCGACGCATGCGCACTAATACAAAAATTAATTAAATGCCCAAAACTGTCGCTAAAACTTTACACAAATGAAAAAGGACATTAAACACACTTAAACACACAACCTATTGAAACAAATACTTCATACAAAAATTACAAAAAACCCACAATGACATATGATTAAAGTATGTTACTCACTCAAGCATCTAAGCGACAAAATATCACTACAAAAATTACACGAAGGGAAAATAACAAAATAGCAACAATATATCATAACACCTCATCAAAATTCGATATAGCACTAACTTACGAAATCATAATACCAAATATTTCATTCATCGACATAATAAGCTTATACAACTTACACCACAGAGACACTTCCGGTGTACAAAACTCAACTCAAATGTGCACATATGCGCACTACACAACATTTGGTGAAACAACCAAATGTCGATACCAAGACTATGCGCAACAAGACAAATACGATAGCATTTAACATACGAATAACTTTTCTCATATTAATATTGCAGAAACACTAACGACAAAGTGCAAAAATATAATTTAAATGTACATGTATGCGCACTGTACGACATTCGGTCAAATAAACAGATGTCACTACCAAAACTATGCGCAAAAACAACATTAAAACAAGACACAGTATACGAAACAACCTTCTCATACTGATATCGCCAAAAATCAACAACAATGTGCAAAAACGACATAAAACGTGCGCACATGCGCACCACACCACATTCGGTCAAATAACCAGATATCACTGCCAAAACTATGCGCGAAAAGAATAATAAAACAGCACACAACATACAAAACACCCTACTTATAACAATATAGCCAAAAAAGTAACGACAATGTACAAAAATGACATAAAATGTGCATACATGCGCACTATACGATATTTGGTCAAACAAACTGAAATCAATGCTAATGTTATGCGCAAAAAGAATCATAAGATGACACTCAATGTAGGGAACACTTTTATCATATAAAATTTGCAAAAAACCCAACGACATTATGCGAAAACACGACATGAATACGCGCACATGCGCAATTCACATAACAAAGACGAATAATCTATTGTAACGTTACGTAATAACAATAGAGTAGGGATAAGACAATCGCCTTTTTATATAAACGCCACGCATAAACAACAAAAGCGTCAGTCACCATCCAGTACGAGTAAGCAGTACTCACAGTGGTACACCAGTAGCAGTACACTCCACGCAACATGTCGATTCAACACAAAGGACCACGCTGATGGCGGTCGCGGACAAATCTATGGAACATCAACCAGTTTCCTTTTTGACACAAAATTAATCTCTCTCTACAAAGTTAACTTACTATTGCGTTTGTTTTGAAACCAGGTATGAGCTCACTGTTGGTATATTCATTTTGCTATTCTACCATGACAACATTGTTATTTCAATTCTTATAACCCTAACAATCCTTCAATAACGTTAAGCTATGTAGGGAAGATATCCATATACTCGTGTCCAAGTCCTATATCCCTAAAAATATCAGATTTAAGCCAATTGTGTTATACTTGAAATGCATTTTAATTCGTAAAAGTATCTACGTAAATTTCAGTTCAATTATTGTCAATTCAGTGTCTATCTTAGACATTGGGTTGCCAAAGTATGTTTGCAGTTTGAGTCGCGAGTACGGAACCGGGCAGACTTGTGCACTGGACCGAAAGTACTGTATTCGTAAATGTCCAAATCTCAAACATACAGGTAGTTGAAATGGATGTCGTAAAAACATTAAATAATAAATTTCAGTTCAACTTCTGTTTGTCAATTCACTGTCTATACTAGACATTGGATCGCCAAACCATATTTGCAGTTTGAGTCGCGAGTACGGAACCGGGCAGACTTATGCACTGGACCGAAAGTACTGTACTCGTTAACGTCCAAATCTCAAGTATACAAGAAGTTGAAATGAATGTTGTAAAAAAATATTGAATGAAAACGAACAATAAAATTCATTCATGAATATTTCTTAAAATATGCATGAATTTATAGTATCAACACAATTCAATACAAAAAAAAACTATTTTCATGATATCCTCATCTCCCATCAAAAGATATCTTTACAAACTCCATTACATCATAATCGTAAGAAGCCAACAGTGTGTAATGTAGAAATGTATACTTAATTGCAATAGGATATTGTAGTGTAAATCGTAAAGTATAAATAACGTGCATCGACTCACACCAATCTGACGGCACTCCAATCAACATTCCAAGGAGAGTCTACATATTCTTATTCACAATAAAACGAGGTAAGTGAAAATTCATATACTATATAATTAAGAACAAATTATCATTTCGATATTCAAATAAAAATATTCTGTAGTGAGATAAAATTTACGATATAAGCGCAACATTCTAATCATTCATACCCTTTATAGTTTACCGCCACCGCATATTTCCCCGACTTACCTCCACTTCGTTTATTTTATTCTACTACAAATAGCGTGCAACTCGGCACTAGCCCTTTAGTCTATTTTTCTCTACTACTAATGACGCCCTCCTTCCCCCTAGCTTCTTCGTTAATTTTATTTTACTACAAATGGCGCCCAACTAGGTAACGTTATTATTACGATAAACGTTATTACAATATACCTACACAAGTATACAACCTATCTTTTCTAACCAATGAATATTATTAACCACACTGAAACCATCAATTACGCTATACAAACGTCATTCGTCATCTCCGTTTATTTTCTCCTTATTACAAATGGCACCCAACAATTAGGCAACGCAATCACTTTGACAATAATTTTATTTAAAAT